TGTCGAGGTGTTTGTCTAATTCTGGTAGATTTTCTAAGCTGCAGATCTTCAAGATTTGTTGAAGTAGGTGTAGTTTCAATGTGAGATGAGGAAGGAGATGTATGTGAATCTGGTTCAACATCAGTATGAGGCTCAAAAGAGGGAGTTAAATGGATATGTGAGGATTCAGGGACTATATTTTGATTGTGATTAAAGTATGAGTTAGTATGAGTTGGTTCTGAGAAGGGTTGTGAAATGGGAAACATAAGGGAATGAGTTTCAGTATTTTGTGGTAATACTTGGAAAGGAAAGATTGTTTCATGAAATGTGACATTCCTGGAGATAATGATCTTATTATTTTTGAGATCCATGAGTTTGTACCCCTTAATATCAGAGGGGTAGGATCAAATTTTTGTCTTTGACTATGTAGTGTTGATGCAAAACAAAGACAGCCAAACACCTTTAAGTGAGAGAGATTGGGTGTTTTGCTAAAGAGTTTTTTCAAAGGGAGTTTTATTTTGGAGTAAAGGAGTGGGGATTCTATTTACTATGTGTGCTGCGGTCAGGACGTAGTCACTCCAAAAAGGTAGTGGCAGATTAGCTTGAAACATTAGGGCTCTTACAGTGTTTAACAGGTGTTGGTGTTTTCTCTCCACAACAGCATTTTGCTGTGGAGTTTCTACACAGCTTCTTTGATGGAGGATGCCATATTTATGGTAAAATTTGGTGAGTAGGAATTCTGGTCCATTATCAGATCGAATGATTTTGACTGAGGAATGAAACTGGTTTGCAACCATTTTACAGAAACTCTTGACTAAAGATTGTACTTCTGACTTAGCTTTGAGCATATATACCCAAGTACATCTTGTGAAGTCATCGACTATGGTTAGAAAGTATTTGAAGCCAACATAAGAAATTGTGCCAAAAGGCCTCCATATGTCACAATGAACTAGATCAAAACTTTTATTTGAATTGCTTTTTGATACAGGAAAAGAAAACCTTCTTTGTTTAGCTAAAGGACATATTTCACAAGTACTTGTACAATTGAAATTAATAGCAGAGTCAATTCTTTTGAGAGAATGTAGTCTAGAATTAGGTACATGGCCTAATCTACAATGCCATATATCTAGTTGTTTGTGAGCAGAGCAAAGAGCTAAAGGTACGAGAGAAGTCTGAATTGGTCTGCAGGATCTAGTTTTTGGTAGATCTTGAGTTAGGTGGTAAAGTCCTTCTTTTTCAAGAGCAATCCCAATCATCTTCTTCATTGATTGGTCCTATAAAAGACAGCAAGAAGCGGTAAAAGTAAGGGAAAGGTTAGATTGTTTAGTAAGTTTAGAGATAGATAACAGATTAAAGGAAAAATGGGGAACACACAAGACATTATGCAAAAATATGGAATCTGTGAGGTGTACAGTGCCAATGTGAGTGGCTGAAACTGTGGTACCATTAAGAAGATTTATGGATGCATTAATTTGCTTAGGTGTAGAATGGTATAAGTGTGGTGAACAAATCATATGATCTGTTGCACCTGTGTCAAGAATCCAATATAGGTTGGAATTTGGATTAGAAACAGTTGAATTGCAAGAAGATAAAGTTGGTTTAAGAGAAGATTGCATCTTACAAGAAAAATGGGATGAAATGACGTGATTAACAGTTGGTTGGACATTATTTTGGGAAGAAGAATTAGGTTGTGATGAATTTGCAAGAGCCATTATTTTGTTAAATTCCTCTGGAGTAAAATAAATCTTTGGTTGCTCAGTACTTTCGTGTTTGTGAGCTTCTGGGGTTGTAGTGACAGCATGAGCAGAAGCAATATTCCTTTTCCCTTTTGGTCCATTCCAGCCAAGAGGGTAACCATGAAGTTGAAAACATTTTTCCACTGTGTGACCATTATATCCACAATAAGTACACTGTGATGCAGATTTCTTTGCTTTGTCTTTGAAAAATCTAGGCAAATGATTCTGTTGGCTGAATTGCTTTGCCATCAAAGCATGAGTTTCATTGTGTGAATCAGTGTTTGTAAGTTGTCTCAAGCTTTCCTCTTGCAGCAATAGAGAAAAAACCTTTGACATTCTCGGCAATGGAACCATTAGCAGTAATTGACTTCTGATGGAGGCATAAGAATCATTCAATCCAACCAAGAACTTGAGCACATAATCAAATTGTTGTCTTACTTGCAGATAGTTAAAAAGTTCACAGGAACATGTTGCCATCACACCACACGTGCATGTTGGAAATGGCCTATAACTAATATACTCATCCCAAAGAGTTTTAAAAGTGCTAAAATATTCAATCATAGAGAGAGCACCTTGATTGATGCAGCTTAAGGATTTTTCAAGATGGAAGAATCTTGGTCCATTACTTCTCAGATATCTGATCTTGAGTTCATTCCAGAATTCAGCCGCAGATGTCACAAATAGCAAGCTATTGCGTATCTCTTTTGAAATGGAATTCATTAACCATGAGAGAACTAAATTGTTTGCTCTTAACCATGCTGTGTACTTAATAGGTTGATCAGCAGAAGGAGAAATGATTGCGCCATCTATAAATTGTACCTTGTTCTTGACTGTTAGTGCAATGAGTATAGAGCGACTCCATACAACATAGTTTTCTCCATTAAAGAATTTTGATATTAGAAGAGCACCAGGATTGTCACTTGGATGCAGGTAATACGGGCTAGATGAGTCGTCTGAAGGATTAGCAGAAATTTGGTTGGATTCAGGAGGATTCACAGGGATAGAAGGATTAACTAGATTAGGAGGAAAATCTTCTGAACTCATTTTTCAAGATATCGTTCAAGAAAAATATAAAAATTCCACAGGTATTTGATGCAAGAACTCTAGAGCAGAATTCTGCAATATAGGAATAGAGAGATGAACTGATTTAGATTATGGAATGTATCAGCTCTGATACCATGTTGATAAACAGAATCAAGGAACCGAGAATGGCAAGAATTATCAAAGTGTATTGAATAAATCTTGTACATCAGGCTGAGCCGTATTTATAATACATTACATCAACAGAAAATCACCAGAAAATAACAGAAAAAGGCTAAACTAACTACCAACAGAAAAACAGAAATAACAACTAACTAACTTGTTTAACTAATTCTTTTTCTTCCAATTTGAGCTTTTCTTCTTTCCGTTTTAGCTCCATGCTTTCAATGTGAGATGTTACACTCCAACAAACTCTTCAGGAAATAATATATTTTCGTTGTCCCTCTGCTGTGATTTCCTTAGAGTCAATACAAAAGGATCGAGAAGACCTGGGAAACTACGACCTTCGCATTACTTACGACTCCCGAAAAGAAAATATATATAAGGTTTATTCCGAACACGTATTAATCTAGCTCTTCACTAAGTATATCAGCTTAGTATGTTTATTTTCCATGTTGTTTATTGATAAATGTTTCTCTTATTAGTGCTTATGTACTTGTTATATATTTGCAAATTGACCGTATTTCTAGATAATTTATTTTAAATATTGTCTTTGCAGAAAAAATCGAAACTTGCAACCGCTTTGAGCAAAACAATGGATTTTGATCCTGATTTGGTTTGACTGGTAGTAAGTGATGAAGACTCTGAAAGCAATATATGTATCAAAAAAAGGCGTAAGGGGAAGTCTATAGTCACAGGGTAATCACTTTCCTTTCGTTTATTTTTTATGCATTCGAATGTAAAAAGAGACATGAATACTTCATACGAAGGATTTTCTATTCAAACTTTGTTGCAAAATGTAAACCGCACTTAAGGGACATAGGACCAAGTTTGCACTTGCCATTGACATAATCATGCATACTGTTTTGTTTGTTCATTAGAATCTGAAATAAAGTAATTATATTATTATTAACTTAATTATCAAAAATTATTGTTAACTAATTTTTGGGTAGGGTCATTAATTAATTGGATTAATTAGCATGTTTTTAACTTGAGTGACATATTAATTTCTTTCTGAATGAGGGCATTGTACTTTTGGTAATGGCAAGAAACCGCGGAACATCTCTATGATTCGCGATCGGGTCGAACTAAATTTGGACCTTTGTGGTCGAATTAAACCACGGAACATCTCTATTCATATGAATCTTTGTGGTTAAATCTTTTCCATTTCCTATCGGAATTGTATTGCATTGTCAAGAACATTGTTGAAGTTGCTGCTCCTATTTGTGAACACTGGCAAGAACATTGTATTTTCCATTATATACTTTTTCTTTCTTTCTTATTTGTACACATATATAATAATTTTTTTTTATCTGACATTTCTTCATTAAATTTTCTAAATGACTCATGTAACATATTTTAGACCGATAACTTTCAAATCAAATAATAATAGGGCACTAGGTTTTAAGATATCCAATAAATTTATTTATCAAATCATAAAGGCTACAAACAAAAGTATAAGATAATTCACAATTTTTTTTATTTTTTATTTTATTATTATTATTTTTTGGCTATAAATTCAAATTTTTTAAAACTCAATAATATTTTTCTTTTATGGGATTGTACTAGAGGTTATG